CAGTTTGGCTCATCCCTAATCAGCATAGCCCCATACTGACTCTCTTCCCTGCTTGACGTGCAATAAGGGAAGTCTCTCAAACCCTTTTTCAAATATCTCTCCCTATTGCTTGAGGCTGCAGATGTTGCAGCAAATGTTGATAGAGAATTTTGTGGAATGGAGTTAGAGGTGGAAATTGAGAAATGAGAAGGAGTGCAGGCCTTTTTCTGTCAACTGGTATCATCGAGATGGTGGTGTCATCCAGATTTATGTGTCTTTACTGAAAAAAGGACAGAGCTAGACTTATCTATGGTGAATCAGCTAAAGAGAAATGGCTTGCAGGCTTTCTTATTTGCATGAAATCACACAGCTGAACCAAGCAGTGACTGGTGGGGCAGGAACACTAATTTCATTTTTCATTATGAATGCTTTGCATCTTGCTGCAGTCTGTAGCTTCAAAACCATACTTCTTCCATGAGTCATTTAGTACAAGCATCAATGTGAAATGAGCAGTGCTTATGCAATTTAAATGCAATTACATTGATATAGGAGCATAGACCATTGCTAATATTTAACTGCAGGCAAGTAGATAAATATAGTTATTTGGTAACTATTTGGTAACTATTTTACCTAACATAAGATTTCGAATGCTTTACAGCTATAAGAAAATAAATTGAGAGACTTAAAGAGACATAACTAGTCAAAAGTATATGTATGTGACCCAGGGTGAGAATGGGAACTGGTCTTTCTTGTTGTCACCTTTATTAATATGCTGAAGCTACATATTACACATTGTAATAAAGATTGCCCCTTTGACTTCAGGGGGCTGGTGAATAGGTGGAGGCCAGTGTGTTTGTGTGAAGGTCATAAGGCTTTGGAATGCTAAACTGGCCAATTGATATTGAAAGATGAAGGCGTGATGGCAAGCTAAGGAATGTTATATTTTCAGGAGGTTTCACATCTCCAAAAAGCAGGGAGAAATTTTAAATAGACAAAAAATTTGTATAGTCCTCGCATCAAGGAGGGCTTGAGTTCTATCTGATCACTTTCATGAGAGAGATATTATTGCGCAATGTAGACCAGTGGGAGATTCCTCAAAGATAGTGAATGGAAGGAACTAGAATAAGAATGGGAGAGACAGACACATGGGATGTATCTTACTAGGGTATCAAACTCAACTGCATCACAGGCAACATCAGCGTTTTGGCTCAAAGGGTCAGTTGTATCTGTAGGACTAGATGTCCAGAGCACCTCCCTTCCTTACAGCAGATGTCAAGAGCCCCCCCCCCCCTTTATCAGAAGTCAAGAGTCCCCCACCCTCCATTATATCACACTGCACCCCGTTTACCTTGCGCTGCTTCCGGGAAGAAACTGGGAGTGGAGGTGAGATGTAGAAAGTGCAGGTTCCGGAGGAAGACCAGAGGAGGGCTGGAGTCAGCTACCGGAGTCTTCTGAATGCTGAGACCAGGGGAGGCAGAGATGAGGGGGTACTGAGGCTGTACAGAGAGGTGCAGGATCTGTAGGAGAAGTTCTGTCCTCCTGTCTGCTGCTGACAAGGGGGGGGGGGGTTCAGACACAAACCTTTCCAGGGCTGCATGGAAAAGCTCAGGATCTGGTGAAGGAGTTCTGTCCTTCTCTCTACTGCTGATAGCTTAAACAAGGTGAGGGCACTGATGAGAGGCATGCAGGAGAGGTGTGAGAGCCTCATGAAATGGTCTGGCCTGGTGGGCCAGATTCGGGCTGCGGGCCTTGCGTATGACACATTTGCTTTACAGAAACATATTGGTAATATTGGATAAGCTTGTCGTTTATGCTGGGTTTACACACGCAACAGTTTTTTTTTCATTCAATCAGTGGATTGAAAGAAATAAAATCTGACAGATCCCTGCATCAACACAAGAAATGTTGATGCATGGATATCTCCTGCTATGTCTTTGTGTTCTGACAGGGGGACTCCCCCCTGGGGGATTCCCCCCCCTCCTCTAGAATACAATGATCAGTGTCTACAGCCATTGGCTGCAAGTGGTTTTTCAGCAGGACTGTTCAATAGAAGCTGGTTATTTGAGCTTCTGTTAAACAGAAAATAGTACACACGTACTGAAAATCGGCCAGTTTCTGCTGCACTGACTGACTTTTGATACGTGTATAGCCTGCTTTAGTTATCTACCAAATTTATGATTGCTTGAATGTATTGTCTTTGGTTTTATAGTCATTTGTCTTCCATGGTTCAGAGGTTTTATCATTTGATAGATTTGGGTGTTTCTGTTAATCTTCAGTTGTGATTTTTATGCCTCTAAAGGATTGTTTCTATGTAATATTTCCTTACATGAACTAAGCTGCCCATGTTTAATTCTTCATACAATATACTATTTCTTTACCTACAGTTCGTGATGTATGTTTTATTGCTGACCTACCCCCATCAAACGTTAGAAGTGGATGTTGATTAATAATACTGATATTATTTTTAGTTATTGTCCATACTATTTGTTAAATCACCCCCTGTTTCTCTTACATTATGATCTCGGTACCCATGCCAGACAGCAAACTACAAGGGGCTGATATGAAGACAAATTTGAGCACCTTTATTACCTGCAATAAAAATGTATTTAATTATGTTTTAAATAATACAGTACTGCAATTATTTGCACTTTGTTGTGTGATCTGTGATGAAGTATCTAAAGCCAAAACATTTTTATTTTTTTTTGGGGAGGGTTAAAACAGTTAACAGTTTTTTGCCATCTGTCTCAAACTTCCTGTACTATAGTCTTAACAGTAAGTGAGAGGATATCTTTTCAATGTAAGCAAAATCTCAGACTGTTGTCACTGGAGCTAGTGACCCAGATACATTTTTCCTCTATACCTGCTGTTGAAAATAATTTATATTTGCCCTCACTTTTTTCACTCCCTTTGAAACCGGTGATCAGTCCAATTAGAGAGAGTGATTCTACCTAGATGGTACACGGACAGCAATAAAAACCTGGCAGTTACTCTAACCTCTCATCACTGTATCCAACTCTAAAAAAAAGTTGACAAGGCCCTGCCACTATCTGCGATTAAACATTTGATATGGAAAGGACACAGGGTTCTTAAAGTTACAATTTGAGAGGCTCCAGTATCTATATTGTGAGTGGAGAAAGCTAAGTTCAGAGCTTTCTCCAGGTTTTGTCATTTTGGATCGGCGCCTGGACTTTAAAGGTTCCAAAATGTCTTGGATATGATGGAATCTACAATTCTGTGTCTGGACTTTGCTATACAGCTGCTATACCGCTGTAGCCTGTGTGAGTACACAGGTATGCAGGGTCATAACCCAGTTGCAGGTTGCTGTTGTGTGTGAGTACACAGGTATGCAGGGTCATAAGCCAGTTGCAGTTGCTGCCATTTGGAGACAGAACCCTGTCAGCAAGCTGGGAGTTCCTGCCTGAGAATGCATCTCTTGTGAGGAAAATTCCTTTCCCAAAGACCGGGAAAGTTAAAACAGCTATGTTGGTATGGAAGGCCAAGAAAGCTGAGACAGCTAGCAGGTCCAGGGGGCTGAAGGGAATCTGAATGTCTCTAGAGGGAGCAAGCTTAAGAGGCTGGAAAACCCTATCAGGGGGCCAAGAGTGGGCCCATACAGCAATCGCTGTGATAAGAAGGCTGAGGAAGCCTGAGGAACCTGCAGTCAGAGAGACCATTGCTAAATGTTGGAGAGCTACTTAATGGAACTAGGTGGCCTGGAATATTTCCAGTTTTTTGCTTTGTGAAGTTGAAACCCTGCATGGGCAACTTTATTTTGTTTAGTAAAATTGGACTACTAGGCCCTTAAACCACACGTTTGGACTGACATGTCTCACTAAAATGCATCTGTCAATGTGAACTAGCCAACCCTCATATCACAATATACAGTACTTTAAGCTTCCATGTTCCATATGTAAATAGACACAAATGATAGCACGTGATCACCACATTTCTAGATATCTACAACTTTAGTAGCCTAACTTACCTGTAATGAAGTATGTCCCACAATGTGTAGACAGCTGGTTGCTGGATAAGTTTACTGTGCAGGGTGCTTGGTTCTCTTTCTGTCCTTGAACTTGTGGCTCTGTGGGAGTTAATTGCTTGCTTCGGGTCTTTTGTGAAGCTGCCGTGAACAAGCTTCCAACAGGACTTGCCCCCCTCCACTAAGAAAAGTTATTTCACATTATGCACTGAACATAACACAATCAGAATAGGGGAGACAATCTTGGGATTCATCACTGTGACGATCGCGACGTCGGACCCCTGACCTTCTTACCAAACTCGTGACCGAACGACTAGCCAATCTAAAACCGCGATGTCACGTGCATAACAATGCCACGCCCAGCTGCATCCTGAACACCGATTTTCCAGCTAGTTGGACCACAATCGATGTACCGGCAGCCTGCATGCGATTGCTACTGGGTCAGGTTAATTACGCAATTAACCCTTCACACTGCCACCACCTCCTTTTTGTACAGAGAAAGAGGAAACTCAGCAATACCAGCAATACACTAGGATGATTGGTTAATCATCGGTATACCACTATCACCTCAGACAGGTTATACAGAGGGTTAAACACTCATAGTAGCATTCTTCAGCGGCATGAATTCGTAAGTTGCAATAAAGAGCTATAGAAACAGTTCAACACTTTCAGAACGTAAGATTTATTACTAAAAGGTCAAAAGGGGTGCAGTAGAAATATTTACAGGAAAATATGTAACCAATATATATAAATATACAGAGCACAACAGCACAGCAAACAGATAACAGAAAGAAGTTTAGGTAGATAAGTACTTGCCAAACAGCCTTGGGCTAAGCAGTTTCCAGTCTTATGGGTGCAAGGAGGCTTTCTTTGTCTCGACTGCAAGTTTTGTTGTTTTCATGGCAGGAGACTCTGCTTTCTCTCCCTCTGCTAGTGATGTTAAACGCAGGGCAGATCTCTCGTTCTCTCACACACACACAAAGCATAACAGCCTTTTTTTCTACCAAAATCAGTTGGTGTCTTCTTACAACAACAGAACCAATTGCCTTATTTGGGAAGAGGATTGTATAAAGGCAGGGAACACAAGCTTCTTGAACTCAGCAACATACATTGATCGCATTCCTGAGGGAAGGGGGAAATCGGAGAACATGAAGAATTCTTAACAAAACGAGGGCAGTGTCTGGCTCTTGTGTGCACGATTGTGACAATCACATTCTCTCCTATTCAGAGATTGTGCTATATACAGTGTAACAATAAAACATTTTTTCCCAATGAAGGAGAAGGGAATGTGTTTACACCAGCTTCACAGAAGACCCAAAGTCATTAACTTCCTCATCACAGTACAGTTAAAAGCAGTAAGAGCACTGGGCACCTGCATAGGAGAATTCTCCAGGACCAAGTGGCCTGCACAATGTGGGATATACTTCAATAGAGTAAGTAAAGTTGTAGAGAAGTGTTTTCTTTTCTAAACTTCAGCTTTTAAAGTAAACCCCTCAGAAATCTGGGTAATTCAAATTCAGCACATGGAAAAAAAAACAATTTTGGTTAAAAAGGCCATAGCATTAAAGAACCAATAAGATAGCACAGGACTTGAAAAGGGAAGAGATACATCTAACTTTCACATGTCAAGTCAAGGTTTCTTATACTTACCTTCAACTTCCTATGTCTGTATATTTCCCTCTATCTCTCTCTTTCTCTCTCTCCTCATACTTTGTTTGCTCATTGTAAATTGCCTGGGTCTATGACTTTTTTTTATGCAAGACATGTTTTTGTTATTTCTGTCTTTTAAGAAAGTAAATTATACTGAAAGTGTCAATTTCCCTTTTTATCACACCAGGAGAATATACTTAAGCAAATGTACTATTGTTAGTTCTCCGTTCTATTGAAATCTACTTCAAATTACACTATTTTGCTAAATATATTTTCTTTAACCACATTTTGAAGATTTTAGTTCTACTTTAGGCTGTCAGCTCTCTGCAAATATGGCTCCTTACATAAAATGCAATTGCTAATAATCAGGGTATACAACAATCATGGAGATTTTATTGACCCCAGGAGTTTTCAATAAGTGGGTTGCATATATATACTAAATATTTCATAATTCCTGTAACTCCCTGACTTCCTGTCAGGCCAATGGTCTCTGGTATAGCTCAGAGTGTTCCCTGAAAAAAGATAAAAGAGGCAGGAGGAAGAAAGGGCCCTTATAGTGTAGTAGATTCATTCAGAAACAGGGTAAAATGCTCAAAAAAAAGATAAAAAACATTTCACAGTAAGAGGAAAAAGATCAAAGTAGACTTACATCTGTTAAGGCTGCAGTCACACTGCAGGGTGGGGAACTCATGGCCTTCCAAGTGTGTGGGTGGGGAAAACCTGTCCCCACGCAGGGTCAGTGTTGTTACTCTCTGTGCCTCAAGGGTTCCCACCCTGGCTAATCTGTGGTATTCTCAGGTGGGTAAATTGATAAGAGGAATTAGAACAAAAAAAATAGTTCATGGTCTGATAGGCAAAGGTGCCTGAATTGATTTTTGTAAGGATAGGCAAGGGTCATCTACAGGGGCAGACTGACCATTAGAGCACTCAGGCACTGCCTGAGGGCCCGGGGTCAGTAGGAGGCCCCATGAAATGCCCCTGGTACCTTTTTTATAGGCTTTTTTGAGTGTGGGCAAAGACACAGGGGCCCCATTATCCCCTATTGCCCGGGGCCCCATGAGTTAACAGTCCGCCCCTGGTCATCTACTTCCTCAGTTTAAGGTGATAAAAAATAATGTAGTGCTTAGGCAACTGATGCCATCTGGGGTGCATCTCATCATGAGTGACAGGCCCAAATGTATGTTACAAGTCTGTATCCTGATGCTAGTTAAACCATTCTTTCCATCCTCTGCTACCCTGTGTAGGATAAAGTCAGGTACGCAAATATGCGGCCCCACTAATAAAAAAACCCAGTTCTGTAAGGCCGCATATTTGTGTTATGTCGGTGTGAAGGGGTTAAAAGAGAAGTATGGCCAAAGCTTTCCTGTCCATACTTCTCTTGTGGGTCACAGGAGAGCTCTTAGTTTTATCTTCCCAGCAAACCAGAGCCAGCTAATAGTGGGCTATTGCCAACTAATGTTGTAGAACTAATTTAGGTTCTGGAAGGATCCTGACAGTATTGTCAGGATCCACCCAACTGCCTCACTTAAAGCTGGCTCTACCTCTCAATGCATGTCTGAGAGCTAACCCACCTTCAGATCCCCTCCTCTGCCCAGCACTCCAGTTAGTACTAGTGGAGCAGAGTGCTTAGAGCCAACATGGGACAGCTGCAGCACAGAGGTGAGTATGGATGTTTGTTTTCTAAAAAAAACCATACCTATCCTTTACGTGCCCATTCACATATATGTGGATTGGATGCGGTTTAAATGGCATCCAATCCACATGACATGTGAAATAACTTGTGTGCCTGTTCACATACTATATGTCTGGAGCACTGTCGGTGCAGATTCAGTGCAATTTAAAAAAGAGTCATGTATGATTTCTGAGCAGTCCAGATCAGGTGCAAAAATTACAGGCTATTGACTTCTATGGGAACCTTTTCTAAACATGAAGTGTAAACAGGATAAAATCCTGAGCTGATTCTGTCCTGAACCTGATGTAAACCTGACCTGAACCGATGATCAGCTACTGTGTCAATTAGCTGTGAAACCTGAGCTTCAATCTGCAACGCATGTGTGTGAATCAGCACTATAAGTACATTTTTTAACTAGTAAGATGATATGCCCCAGTTATGCAATATATTTACTGTGATATTTTTTGATTTTAGATACATGCTTTATTTCCATTTATATATGTCAAGAGCTAAAAAGTATACATTTTTGTTTCTGTCCTTTATATTGAACCTTGATCATTTATAATATTTTAATAATGTTGTATTCAGGGGCGGACTGACCATTTGGAAACTCGGGCACTGCCCGAGGGCCCGGGGTCAGTAGGGGGCCTCATGAGATGCCCCCGGTACCCTTTTCATAAGCTTTTTTGAGTTTTGGCAAGGACACAGGGCCCCATGATCCCCTATTGCCCGGGGGCCCCATGAGTTGTCAGTCCGCTCCTGGTTGAATTTAATGTTTTCTTGCTGTTCATATTATACTGTACTGATATTTATTGGTACCGAGACTATGCCTTGCTGCAGATTATGTAAAACTGCTTTGAGAGTAGTGGCATTCCTCGAGGTTATTCAGATTCTTAGGCAGTCCAGGTTTTACTTCATTTTTGCTAAAATAATTAGTACTCCTTATCATAAAGGAAACATAATGTTGATAAATACCATTGTCAAGTGCAGTAATAGGGTAGTTTTGATGAAACTCTGTAACCATCGGCAGTTTACTGTATATTGTGTAAAAGTAAAGTCCATCATGAAAATAGTGATCTAGTGTAATCGGAAAGTGACAGTGTTATTAGTTGCAAGAACCCATTTGATTTTTTAGACTATTATTAAAGCATCTATCTGTATAAAATGGGTTTTTTAAGTTTCCATACCTCTCAGCTGTCGTACGCACAATGTCTGTCCTGCATGTAACTGTCTAAAGTTACATGAGTTCTCCATGCAAAATTTGAAGTTTACCTGTAACATGGATGGCAGTCCCTGCCTATACTTCCCATTAAATCTTCTTTTATTACACAGGTGGGGCTTCCTTAATAGATAGGGTGATTTCCAGTTCCTGGGGGCTTGGTTGTGTTCCAAGATATGGCTTTTGAAGATGCCATGGTTGCAGTTTCAGTTTCTAAACTGGTAGTGACAATTAGGAATGATTGCAGTGATTTTAGCAAAATGGATTTGGCTACTAAATTGCCAATCTAGTATTTATTTTGTAAATTTTATTCAAAATTGGCTTCTAATTTTTCTTACATGAAACCTGCTTGAAAAAAATTATCTACCTGTTAGGGATAACTTTTTAAGTTGCTAAGCCACCCCTAGCAACCAACCAGTGACTGGTGAGCTATGGGTGAATTAAAGGGTATAATAGCAGTGCACAGAAATGAAATGGTTAATTATGACAATACATAGGCAACAAACAGCTATCCTTACAATGTGACAATACACTGGCAATTGTTGGGCTTTGTGGCAATACATAGTTAGCAATTAGGCAGTGATGACAATACTTGGTCAACAAAAATAGGCAGTTGTTACAATACACAGAAAACAAATCATCAATTTTTACAATATACATAAACAAATGGTAATCGGGAAAATATGGGTAGAAGAAATTGGCACTAGTGACAATATAAGGGCAAGAAATGGCCAATTATTAAAATATGTAGACAACAAATTGGCAATTTTTAACAATAGCCAGGTAAGCAACATACAGTCAAGAAAATAGCAGGGCAAGACATGCACAATTATGGGAAAAGCGTGGAAACAATTAAAGCAGTTGTTACAAAAGTTGTTTTATTCTACATAGGAATTAAACAGGGAATAATAACAATATCAAAAACAAATGACTAGGCGCTAATGCCCTCAACCAGAAATGAGTGAACTAGAATGAAGAAAAGGCAGGCAATCCCACAGCTGCTCTAATGACCATAAGGAGTATGTAGTCAAAAGGAAAGCATAAAACATCAGAGCGCTAATGGCAAATGTCCAGAAAAAAAAACAGTAATGTTCATAACCAGCAGAAAATATAAAACAATATAATGGAGCAATAAAAGCAAGAATCACCATAAGGATGCATCCATGAATGGATATCATACAAGGATCTGTGCAAACCATAGGCTGGAGGAATGATGGGAGTGGCTTACTGTGTTGTAGACATGGCAATGGAGAACCTGGATGGTGAGCTCAATGGGTGGAAGGTGAAGGAGCCACAATTGATGGTATACAGGCGACCAAGGCTAGCGGTCTGAGAGAGACCCCACAGGAGGGATGAAAGGAGCAAGATGGACCTCCTTGGTTGTCGGAGATCACACATCGGAAGTGGTGTCACAACGCACCAGAAGTGACGTCATGGCACACTGGAAGTGACGGCACGGCACACCAGAAGTGACCTCAGTGGAACACAAGGAAGCGAGGAACAACCATCAAAAATCCTCAGTAGGAAGGGGACCAACCTTAACAAGTCCCAGTTACCACGACAATGCATTTTGCACGATAT